GGTCTAGTGGTGTTGTATAATGGAAGTAATTGAATATTTTCGTATATTTTTGGTCTTCCTCTTTTAGGTGAAAGATCCAAAACTTGGAATTCAGAATCATCTAAAGAAGTCTTATAAAACATTTTATAAGGTTCATTTTTTCAAGAATCTCATCCATTGAATTTTTAGCCAAGAGACAGATTCGCCCGCGGTATTTTTTACTCTCCTTGTTATTGATTTTTCAAGTGATTTCGTTGAAATAAAATCCGGCTGCGCCATTCGTTTGATCGAAAATGTATTTCTTTTTCTACGATTTTCGATCAATTCATAGTAATGTTCAGGATTGTATAAGTAATTTGCTTTTTTTATTTTCATTATTATGTAGTTCAGAAACGCGACGAAGAGGGCCACGCGGTATTTTCAAGTTATGTTTATATAATTTCTTTAAATTGTTGACTTAGACCACTTTCATAATTAACACTAAATGAATTCCGTATAACGTTGTAATTACAACTACTATCTAAAGGTGAAAATTCATTTTTTTTTAAATTTTGACTTAGACCACTTTCATAATTATGGGCACAATTAATCTGCCAAATACGAATGATATTTGTTTCGTCTTAATCCGCACAAAATTTGTTTCTCCTGTTATCAAAATGTTGGAATGAAAGCGAACGAAGATATGCAAGAAACAAAAATTGTCTCGATTCATCGGAGGTGTAATTAACACTAGATCTACCGTGATAAAATAACCAATTTCGTATTGTTTCTTTTAAAATTCTTGAAATTGTCAAAATTCGTTCGTAGGAAACGATTTTTAACACCAACCATATCATCGTCGGTCAAATGACCGGTTCAACAGATTTTATTCTACGGGTATTACAATTATAAAAACGCTTCAATTAGAAACCATTAAATGAATTTATTCGTCCGAACATACATTGATATAAAAATCGCAAAGATTTTAAAGTAACTTTATGTTAAATATAAATTACATTCACTATATAATTATTATATTAATTATATGTTATAAATTAATGTTAAATCTGGACAACTAATTTCGCAAAAGTGGTAAGTATGTCAAATAAATATTGTAAATGAGAAAAAAAAAACACTACTGTTTTTATAATTTATAGATTTACAGTGAGATCTAAAATTATTGACGCTAGAATATATTTAAAAAACAGAAGCATAAAGTTGTTTCATTTCACAACATGTGCTTCACATTTTAAATGAATAATATTAAAAGTGAATAGCAAAAAAGACAAGCTGGACATACTATTTCTGTAACCCACTTGTATCTCGGTTTTCGCTGAGAGATACTGAAGCTATATTACTGTCACATTTTCATATATATTTAAAATGATTGCTCGACAGGGGCCAAAAACCAGTCTCCAACTCCGGATGAAATCAACTGCTCATTGCCGTAATCACATTTATAAACGCAGAATTATAGAGGAAATTTTAGTGTTCTATATACGAGAATAGTCTCTGCAGAAAATTAACAGGAGTTGAAGTAGAGTAAATCCAGATTTTAATAGCATATTCGTGCCATATACACATATATTAGTTTGTAGTATTATATATACATATATCAACTAAAAAATGCTGGTGTAAAATGTTTAATTACGATTGCAATATTTTTCCTTTTTCCTAAATTAACATTTAAACTAGTAAATGATTATTAGTCGAGAAAAGATTTATGCAAAGTTAAATAGAACAAATAATTTGTACTTTACAGCTCGCCTAAACTTTTAATAACATATTTTTAACTAAAAAATTAATTTCAGTGACTGAATTTTGATTATTCCTCGTCCACCATCTTTTATAGTGGTTTCGAATTGTGTCAGCTAACAGATTGTAAGAACTGATGTTTCCTGAAACAAAGCCGGTAGTACGGTATATTCACATGAGAAAGTTGGTGTCCAATTTTTCCTTATGAAATATTAACTTTCTTACAAAGTTTCTGCAACAACAGGGTGTTATAACGGTTATAGAATCACGATACCAGCTCGAACTTAACGTCACGCATGCACTAGAAAAGCTACACACAACTTTACTTTCGAAACTATAATCGGTGCTTAATATCTTCACGTAAATTACGTTCTAAACTTTATTACGCTACTTTGAAACTGAAAAATATGTCATTTCCTCGCATCTTCTGTCTTCGCGATTAACAGATTTCTCAGTTCGGTTTAACAAACTATGACAATTAAAGCCTTGGGTAACCTCGACGTTAAATTGACAGACATTTATTTGACTGTCAAAAATTAATTGTACGGATATGCAATCTTGTTTTATAAAAATGATGTATGTCATGGTAGCTATTCTACAAAAATGGTTAAAATATTTCTGTTAATAAATTGTATAATTTTCTTAATCTATTTCATTGTAAACACATTTACACTTTTCCAAATTATTATCTGTAAAATTCGAAAGTAATTTTATATTTTGCAACATATAATCAAAATCTATCCATTTCGAAAACAGTTCCTCGACTGTATCTATGAAAAATTTTGATTAACACCGTAGTCATGTATTCATATTTATCGAATAAGACATATTACATACTTTTATTCAATAATAAACAAAATAAAAGAACGAAGAAAACAATTAACTTTATATTTATCAAATAAGACATATTACATTTTTTTATTAAAAAATAAACAAAATAAAAATATTCAACATGTTTTATACGATAAATATGAAGTTTATTACGCGCGAAAACAGATCAAGGGTCGTGTTAAAAAGACGAAACGCGAACAAACGCCAAGCAGCATCTTGAAGAACGCGTCGGTCAGCTCGGAGGTTTATTCGAAGCGTTTCCATTCCGCCAGGAAGACCTATGTAATCCGGCGGAGCAGGTTCTCGGCTTTGGATCCGCTTGCATCGGCGTCGCTTACATCTCTCATCCTCGGCTTCGGGTGTTCCGTGGATCCAGTGGAACCGGTGCCGAGAGAGCAGCCGCCGACCGACTCGTTCCTGCTTGTTCCGGCTCGTTCCGGCTCGTTCCATTTTTACGACCGGCTAGGATCATTTTTTACGAGGCAGTTCCGTAGCTCTCGTTGTCCAGAATTCATCCGGCGTGCAGCGCGCAGCCAGCCACTCGTCGATCTGCCTCGTCGGCGACCGCCCTCGTCGTCGAAGAGGGTTGTAACGAGTGCCGCTTCAAGTTTCGATTGACGACACACCCCCATTCAAGGGAGGGTGGAAGGAGCGGGAAAGTGGTGGCGGCGGGGCCGAAAGGGGGAGGAGAACGGAAACGAGCCATCGAAGATGACTTTCCGCGGAAAATCTCGCCGAAAATGTCGTGCATCCCAATGCCTCGCGGTCGCGGCGAGATTCGGGGGGTTGCGCCGAGGATCAGGGGCACGGGAAGGGAAGAAAAGTTTAGATTGAAGTTTCCGCGTGAATGAAAAGTTAAGGACTGTCACTCGCATCGTAGCAATCTGCGGTAACAACTTCAGGTCTGACGTAGTTTCACGAGTAATTTTCCGCGATCGCGTGGTTTGGGGCGGGGAATCTTAGCATACAAGTATATATATTCGTTAAGAGCAGTGTCGGGACTTTTCATACGCTCTCTCGCGGTACCTGAATATCAGGAGATACATACTTTGAATCTTGTATCTGGAAAGAGCATCGCTTCGAGCTTCTTACGATTACAATTAGGTTACGGATTCTTCCTGATCATTTTGAAAGACAAATACATCGAAGAGTGCCATTTTATTACTATTTTGTGGCTTTGAATTGTTGCACGGACAATATAAAAAATCCATGAAATCCTTTTAATATATAATAATATTATAAATTAGTTGTAGGGGAGAGACCGGGGCTAGAAGTTCCGATTTCGAGGAAACATAAAAATTGACTAAAAAATAATGCAGTTACTTTTTCGTTTCTGACTACTTTATTGTTAAATTTATTCTACTTCAAGATTGCCAATTCAAATTTAATATATTGCAATATGTTTTCATAGAAACTCGTTATTTTTTTGGTCAACTGAAGAAGAATTTCTTACCCCTTTGTGGGGCAAGTTGTTAACGCTCTGAGGTAAGTTGTTACTAAAAAATAAATGTTACTTTCTAATGAGATATTTCATTCTCTGATGAAATGAAACACAATTTTATTAATAAAGTTTCTTTATTAACTTCGGATGGGCAGAAATACATATATATATACTTGAAAGAAAAAAATATTCTATATTTTTGCCATTTCTTGTGTCAACAATTTAAAAATAAATAATGTAAGACCAGTCATTTTGACCGGCATGATTTACTGCTGAATAGTAGGTATTGTACATGATGCAAGAGCTGTGATTATCAGCTCATTCGTTTAATATACGGATAATCATTTTTATAACTCAACTAGTATATTTTAGAACATTATTTAAAAGAACATTTTTTTTTTTTTTAGAAAATTTTTCACTTTCGTTCATCGATAAACTGTTTTCCAAGAAGTTCGTTTCACGTCAGTCATAAGGTTTTGCAGACGTATTTTTGAACGTACATTCTTCAAAAAAATGTAACAAAAGAAACCGTCCGTTCGAAGATTCGCACGAGAATACCCCCTCGAAATTACTTAAATCTCTTAAGTCTCTACGAATTAATAGCACAGATTCGCACGAAATATAATTTACATTTGAAGAGACGCGATTTCCATTTAAACGTTAAGTATAATAATTTGAAGGATAGTTGCCGCAGCCGGCATTCCGAAAATTGCACGAACGAGAGTCGGTCCAAACAGCGCAAAGCATCCCGTAGGATCCATCAGTTATAATAAATAATCTTGCCGCTTGCAACCGCAAGTTAACGAGCTTCGAAAAGGTCTTCGCGGAGTCAATTAACGCGTAATTAACGCCCCCGCGCCCGGAGAGAAATTCAGAGGTTACAATGACGTTGTTCCATGCGAATCGTTGGAGCTTCGACGGTGCCTCCTGCAATTTCCGTCTTCGGGCTGAAGTGCGAGCCAAGGATTCATTCCTTGAGTCTAAATGTGTTCGCTGTTCCTCGGTACGTGTTAACGAAACGAGCTGCTGAAACGTCGGTGTATCTGCGGGGGTGTGCATCGACCTGGTAAGTGCCGACAAGTATAGTCAAGTGCAGTTTAAATGCAGCCGTTCGTTGAAAACGGGACATAGAATAATGGCTAGTCCTAACTTGGCCTTCCCTCCGGAAGGTTAGAAAATTACGAACGCCCAGCGCGACAACGTCAATCATGTCACACTATAAGATCTATTATAAACTCGACCGTGGGCCATGCACGCCGAGTTTTCCGCAACGTAAATTTGATCGGACCCGGTCTCCCCGAGTGGCATTTATCATCGAGTTTAGCCTTGCGTGTACTCTCATTTATTCCAAACTTCTCCCCTACGATATTAAGTGCAAATTAAGCTGCAACTTGCACTTTTTAACTTCTCTCCTTATTTCTACCTATCGCGATCCATGTATGCGCGTCTCACGGCTTTTAACCCTTTGCACTCGAGCGGCGATCCCTAAGGGTATTAAGAGTTACAAATTGTTACGTCTCGTTAATGTTACAATAACACTTGTTGAAAATCAGAATAAATGTCTTATTGCTACTTTTATCAATTAAAACAAAACTGCTGTTTTTTGAGCTCCGTAAATCTAGTCTTAAAATTCAGCATATTTAGAAAAACAACATACTTCTTCTACGGAAACGCTGAAGTTTAAATTCACTACATCGTCGATAGAATATGTACCTCTTCTCGCTTCACAAAAATGAAAATATCCTCATTTTCGGGAGCTATAATGTTAATGAAAAAATAGATTCGTGTCCGAAGGATGTACTGCCACACCAACTTTCGTAACAAACTGTATTTTCTAGAATCACCGCAAAAGACATTTGCAGATTGAGATGTATTATTCGAACGATTTTAACCCTAGAAAGATAACCATATGACAACGTACGTAAAAGATAACCATACGCTTCAGAGGCGTATGCTTTTCTAAGGCGTCAATTTTATACTAACAATGGATATTTATTTAAGTTAATCTAGTCATTTTAAAGGTTTGGCATTATTGTAAAAATAAAATGCATTTATATTATATTTTTTTATATTTTAAGTAATTTTAAACTTAAATCACTAGACCTCTATGAAAAATTAACAAAAATCAACAGTCTTC